AAACAGTCTACTTTGTGCTTTTACTCCTAAAAACCTGAGAGGATTTTATTCACAATATGCTGTTTCAGAAAGTGGTGATTTTAATATGTAACATGTTTGTAAATCAAAGCCTACACATTTATTTATAGCAACAGCAATAATGCTGTATATACAATACACACAAGAGTTAATACAGTGCCTATAAAAAAGTATTCAGCCCCCCTTGGACTTTTTCCACATTTTATTGTGTTACAGCATGGAACCATTTAACTGAGAATTGTTGCCACTCATCAACACAAAGTACTCTATACTGTTAAATAAAAACAAATCCAGACATTTTACTAAATTAAAAATAAAAAACAGGAAATAATTGAACTCATAAGTATCCCCTCGTATTTAATACTTGGTAGGACCACCTTTGGCAGCAATTACACCTGTGAGTTTCTTTGGGTAAGTCTCCATCAGCATTGTACACCTTGACACTGGAATTTTTGCCCATTCTTCTTGGCAAAATTGCTCAAGCTCCATCAGGTTGGATGTGGACCTTTTGTGAACAGCAATTTTTTAAGTCCTTCCAGAAATGCTCAATTGGATTGAGGTCTGGGCTTAGACTGGGACACTCCAGGACATTGACCTTTCTGGTTTTAAGCCACTCCAGTGTGGCTTTTGCTGTATGTTTTGGGTCATTGTCCTGTTGGAAGATGAATTGTCTCCCAAGTCCAAGTGCTCTTTCAGATTGCAGCACGTTTTCCTCCAGGATTTTTCTGTACTTAGCTCCATCAATTTTTCTTCTATCTTTGGGTTTTCCAGTCCCTTCTGCAGAGAAGCATCCCCAAAGCATGATGCTCCCACCACTATGTTTCACTGTAGAGATGAGCAGTGTGATGTGCTGTGTTAGGTTGTTCAAAGTTCAATTTTGGTCTCATCGGATCATAGACTCTTCCTCCAAAATGAGTCTTTCACACACCTTTGGGCAAACTCCAGCCGAGATGTAATATGAGATTTTTCAACAAAGGCTTTCTTCTTGCCACCCTTCCGTATAAGCCAGATATATGAAGTGGGCATGCTATTGTTGTCTCATGCACAATTCCTCCCATCTCTATCGTGGAGGACTGTAACTCCTTTAGAGTTGCCGTAGGCCTCTTGGTGGCCTTTCTTACTATGGCTCTTCTTGCCCGGACACTCAGTTTTGGAGGACAGACAGTTCTGGGCAGATTCTCACTTTTTTAATTATGGACTTCACTGTGCTTCGAAGTATATTCAATGCCTTGGAAATTTTCTAATATCCTTTCCCTTGGTATGTTTCAAGAACCTTGTCTGGGATCTGCTTGGAATGTTCCTCGATCTTCATGGTGTAGTTTTTCCTTGGAAATACACTAAGTGGGGAAGCTCCCAGACACCTCAACTGCACACAGGTGGACTCCAATCCAAACTCCAATCCAAAGTAATTAGTGACTTGGAGAAGAGAGATGGTTACTTTCCAGGTAATTTACAGTAAGTGTTTCGAAGCAAGGGGTGAATACCTATGCATTCAATTATCTCTGTTTTTTATTTTTAATTAATTTAGTAAAATGTCTGGATTTTTTTTTCACTTTGACATTATAGAGTACTTTGTGCTGATGAGTGGCAAAAATTCTGTTAAATACATTATGGTTCCATGCTGTAACACAATAAAATGTGAAAAAGTGCAAGGGGAGTGAACACTTTTTATAGGCATTGTATAACATCAGTAGTACATACTGTAAAAGCTGAACCTTATGAAAAAAGGTTCAATTAATTAAATAAAGATTAGGTATGCACAGCTTTCAAATTGTTATAGTAAGAAATCATTTGGAGATATGTCTATCTTAATTTGTTCAAATGTGGGTGTCTTCCCAGTCTATTTCATTTTATGTATATAATAACAAACATGTATAATGATTAAGTCAATGACAACAATATTTTTAATTTTTTTTCAATGGGACTAAAAAGTCACAGGACATCTCTTTATTATATAATTTATGTCATGTAATTTGCCAAACCGCTTTATACCACACAGTGTCGCAGGAAGCCAGAACCTACCCCACAAGCAACGAGCGCAAGGCAGGGTACACCCTGGTAAGGGCGCTAGTCCAACACAGGGCCAGTGCATCATACATGGGGACAATTTGGAGGCCATGGTAAAGGCCAATGGGGGAAATGTGGCCCGGACACCGGGATAACTCCTTCCTCTTATCGAGAAATGCCCGGAGATCTTTAGTGAGCACCGAGAGTCAGGACCTCGGTTTAACGTCTCATCTGAAAGATGGCACCCACTACAGTATAGTGTCCCCACCACTATACTGGGGCATTAGGATCCATACAGACCGCAGGGTGTGCGCCTGGCAACCATACAGGTAGCTTCCCAGGAGGTCATCCATCCAAGTACTGACCAAACTCAACTCTGCTTCACTTCAGTGAGTAGCCACTTGAGAGCTGCAGGGTGATACAGTTATATTAAACGTATATAATTTATATTAAAATTATATTATTTTAATATATAATCATATTATATAATTTTGCAGATCAAGCCAGAATGTTTGATCAGTAAGCCATAACCAAAACAAATGTTGTTAAAGCTTTGGGCTAGTTTCACAAAATACACAATTATCTTCTTTTTAAATTTTAAATCTATGTACAACAAGGGTCTTTACAGGGTAAAATCAATGAATAATTAACCTTATTGACCTTATTAACCTCCTTCCCCTATTGGTAATAGAATATCTTCTTGACATCATTCATACATTATCCCAGTTAAGGTACGTCCCAAATTGTTCCAAAACAGTTTAATCGACATGACATTGGCAACTTGCAGAACGTATCTTAAATACTTATTTTGCAAATATAACTCAATATATCCTATTACAGTTTTTTAAGAGTCAATTCTTCTCTAGGGACAGCATTGGTTACAATATACTATAGTATTGATCAGACTTAATGGAAGTATATTCATCCGTGAAGTCTGTGTAATTATACAATTCACCACTGCCCCCAATTATGATACCATTTTAACCGAGTTTTCAAAGAATTTCAAAGATTTTATTTCTAAATTTTATATCTTGCATATCTGTGCTTAAGGAGTACTTGTTTATGGAACCTGGGCAAATTTCAAGTTGATTTTCCCTACATCAAAGTTACATTTATTTAACTTTGCTAGGTACATGAAAGATTAAATTAGCGAATGAATACCACATACGTCATACTGTGCATTTCTTATTTAAAGTAATTCTGTGTCCGTTTTATCTTAAGGATAATATTAGATGTTCTAAAATTTAAATAATTTAAGCCCCCATCTGCCTGTGTTAAAAAGATATTTTTTAAGGTAAAGGGATTTATTTATCCAAATAAAGTTGAAAGGGAACTTCAGTGCTATTTTTATATTTCAGGGTTAGAAAGAATTGTCATTGATGAGTGCATTTCAAACCACAATGAAAATCAAATGTATTACACAGGAATGTTTAAAACCTTCTATTTACATTAAAAAATAGACCAAAATTCTAGGTACTGTATGTGCAATGCCATATTCAGCGATTCAGAAAGCAGCCCTATTACATTGTAATCAAGCAGGCTTCATTGTGAATTCATCTTTTTTAATCCAGTAGAATTGTAATTAATATTTGGATGCATTTGCGGTGAGATGTCTGCAGCATAACCTATACTCATTGTACATCTGGCTTCATCACTCTGTTCTCCTCCTCACCGATCGCTGATGTGTGGTGAATGTACTGGCGCACTGCCGTCGCATCATCCAGGAGGATGGTGCACATTGGTGGTGGTGGGGAGTTCCCATTACCTGTAAAGCTCTTTGAGTGGAGTGTCGAGAAAAGTGCTATATAAGTGTAAGCAATTATTATTATTCTATTATTATTATTATTATTATTTATTAATTACATCACATTACGTTAGTCATTACAGTGACTAGCGAGCAGGAAGCTCTGGTTCACATTGCAATTCATGGGAACCCTTGCTGTCGCCTGTGGATGGGTTTGCCACAACGTGGCAACTATACAGTACTTTCACAAAGTACTGGAATTTGTAAAATGTTACAATACTGTCAATTCATTTAGTTACTGAGATTTAATAACTTGTCTGAGAAATAGGGACTACGACTCCCCTGTAAAATGTAAAATGTTTACAATCAATTTTCCTATAAATTTATAAACGGTCAATACTGATGTTTTAATATAGACCTAGTTAACCTCTCCTATTAAATTTGAAATAAACCAGGACCCAGTTCTGGTTCTTTACCACTTAGACTTATTATTATACCGTGTGAATTTATTTAAAACCTGATGTTTTGATCCCCATGAGTCAATAATTCCTAAGCCTAGACATCACCTATACAACTCCAGAGGGGGATGATCTGGTAGGCATACAGAATCTGTCTATCATCAAAAACTGTATAAAAATCTACAGTTAGGATTATTTCAATATCCAGAAATGTACACTTGATCTTATTTATCTCTTCCTCAACATCAAGAAACAAAGTACTATTATTTCATTTAAGGCATATACTGTGCGTTACAAAAGTTAAACATTGCTAATTATACACACCTTTTTTCAATCAATACTTTTATAGCAAGCTCACTTACGTTTTAGACTCAACGTTTTTAAATGTTGCTGGATTACAAGTGATACACATCTTCCAACTTTCGTATTTTAATCACAAACTCACATGCTCAGACAGAAAACATTTAAAGACAAAATTACATTTGTCAGCTGATATCTTACAGAAAATCAAAAACTGAATTATGCTGCTATCTTCCCCAGAACACTTAAAACTTATTGCGGCAAAAGGTGGCTCTAACAAATATTGATGTATGAATTTTACTGCCATTATTTTTACCCTTCAATGTACACTCAAAATTGCAATACCCGCAGATTGATTACTGTCAAATGATAACTAAACATCACTGCCCCCATCGAAATGTGGGTCCTAACTAGAGGAACATTTTTTAAAAAATAAAAAGCTCCACTTAATCTCTCGCAATACAAAAAAACAACAGCTTTTCGTTTTGCTAAATCACGAAATCCCATAATATTTAAAACCCAGCAAAACAGAAAGGTGGAAAAATTGAAATTACGCGTACGGCTAAAATCCATTTTCTGTGCAGGCACAAAATACAGTTCTATGGGTAAGTAATCTGTACAGTGCACCACGTCTATGTTAGTGGTTATATTAAAAATGCAGTCTGTAATGTATAAAAGTATGACAGTGAAATATTGCCTTGCAGACACTGACAGTTAACAGCTAAGTTAATAATAATAATAATAATAATAATAATAATAATAATAATAATAATAATAATAATAATAATAATAATTGAAGCTCTTTATAGCTTCTTATACCCTATACTGCTGTATTACTCTAGTACAACAGGCAGTACTGGAGACTCTGAGGTGCCTACAGAGGTCCTTTGAAAGAGGAAGTCGTGTATTCAGGTGGGGATATAAACTTTAGAGGTCTTACAGTAATGCTTGCATTTTAAGGTAATCTGATTTATTTTTTCATGTATTTATTTATTTTTTACATTCAGCCCTACTGGGTGTTTTTCTTTTTATCGAATTTTCTTTTGAAAACAGTAATGCTAAAGTTCATGCCATAATCTAGGGGTATGGTAAAAAGTTTTGTCCTTATTTTGAAACGCAAAGTTTTTGTGTATCAATCCCTGGGGTTGTTTCGCTTTTTCATAACTGTGAAAACATACAGTATTATACCTGTAGCTGTTATTTCAGTTAATGAACTATTTTTCTTGAATTGTTAATATTACTGAACATAACATACTTACAGGTTATGCAACCCGAATACATAAATCAATAGCTGTCTGAAGTCCGTATTTTGCTAACTACATTTAGAGCACCGGTTATAGCCGTTCATTCTCAATATTTGCGATACATCAAATCTTGCAAAAATGATTCCCTGTAGAAGTTATTAATTTACGTGACGAATTATGCTGTATTGATTAAAATAAAGTGGACGTGCATTTTATTGTTGCTGTCTGTGCTACAAAAGAAATAACTAAATCTTATTGCTTCGTCACCCACAGTCACACGAATGTTACACGACTATCCTAATCTTTAATGGGCTTAAGATGCTTTTGGTTCCTTACGTTTTACATGGGCTCTCATAAAAAATACTGCAATGTTATATTAACTAAATTTGCAGTTCTTCGGAATCCTTAGCATTGTGTTTAGAACAGTTTACGCTGGGCGGCTGCGAGTTGTTATTTAGAACACTTATCTTTTCATTTAAATGTCATATCTCCCATTAGTAACACTGTCTCACAGGTTCACGCTGGCCAAAGATCGGCTGTTTAAACGTGCTCTTGGCTGGCTAAAGAAACACCATGGGAACAGCCGGAAAGGTATTATTTTTATTGACTTAAAAAGTACATTTGCTTTTGTAGGTTGATTTACACCCTTCCTAGGAATAAGACCAGTCTCAGTATATAATCACATTATCATGTAAATATTAGTCAGAGTTACAAAAAGGGTTATGCAGTACTAAGAAGTCTGACTTCTTTGAGATAATGTACCCCAGTGATACTGTGTACAGTACTTTTCCAAGTGAGATTCCTAACCGTGTTACAAAGGTCATTATAGTGTTCTATTTCCAGTAGAACCTGTTAACAGTTACATTAGCTGCATGTCATATTTCTATTCAAAGCCCTTAGTTCCGGTTTATCTGAGTGTTGAGAGGGCTGGGTTGGGGGTGTTGCATCATTGTAAATTAAGTATTCCAATTAAGTACTTGAGAGACATTAAGATTTTTGCTATTTAAATTTACATCCATTATCACTAACCCACATCTTACTGGAAAGCACAACTGCACTCAGTGAATAAGACTGGTTTCCTCCTGCAGTCCAAAGACATGCTGGTACAGTAGGTTAATTGGCTTCTGGGAAAATTGGCCCTGGAGTGTGTGTGTGCGTGTCTGCGTGCCCTGCAATGGACTGGTGTATCCTGCCTTGTGCCCGTTGCTTGCTGGGATCAGCTCCGCCTTCCCTGCGATCCTGAATTGAAATTGAATGAAGCAGTTAGAAAATGGATGGATGAATAAATGAATACTCCATCACAGAATGTGGAAAGTATGCAGTGTGATGACAAGAGCCCACCAGATCTATGACCTTCGTATGTAAAATAAATTTTGTTATATTGCGTATATTAAGATTTAAACAAAATATTCTTAACACTCAGTTCAAGCCTTTTACCATTAAGTAAGTGGCTAACAGATTGAGAAAATACAAACTCGGCGCACATACTGTAGTACCCCAGGGCCCCAGCTCTGTGAGACAATAATGCTAACCACTGTACCACCACGCTGCCCCTGATGTAGCATAAATTATTTAAATAAACTAACAGATTAACAAATTGCAACATCACGAAAACATGCTCTACAGGTGATTCAGTGTAAGGCAGCAGTGGCCTGGGAGCCTGGGAAGCCCCTGTCTATCGAGGAAGTGGAGGTGGCTCCGCCCAAGGCTCATGAAGTTCGTATCAAGGTGAGGCTCCAGCCATTGCATACCACACCATGAAACCAACTCGTACTGGGAATGGAAAGCAATGCCTAAGGCTCTTTTGGCTTGATATCTAGGATTTGTGTGAGAATATCCCTAAAATACCATCTCTTTGACTGATAATGATTTCGTTTGTCTTGACCAAGATAATAAAAAGACTGATTAAAAAAAGACAAATCAATGATGAAGGCATGCAAAGTGTTTTTATATTGTGTTTCTGTAATGAGTGCCTCTATGAATAATATGAGTGGTAATTCATCTGAAATTATTTTGTATGATTAGAAATATACAGTATACCGTATATCCTGCCTGCAACCTGTTACAAAGCATTGGTGCATATGGTATTTTAATATCTTAAACATTTTACAGAGTATGTTGACTATATGTATTTATTGTCATTGAATACATTTTAAATTTCTTTCACTACAAGGGTTTATGAAAAGTTCTTGCTTTGGGTAAAGTGCATGCTAAAATAAAATGCCACCTTCAATTGACAGGATTAATTAATTTTAAATTTTACAACCAAAGTAACTTAAATCTAGTAGTTCGGAAGATTTTTAATTGATATGTTAAGTAATTGCCAATAACTGTGCTAATACTGTAAATACAATATAAAAAGGGAATAATCTGCCCGCTGTATAATGCTACAGATTGCAGCCAGTGGAGTGTGTCACACTGACTGGACCTACGTGTTTGAGATGACTAAAGTGAACCAAACCCGACCCTACCCCATGGTTCTGGGACATGAAGGAGCTGGAATTGTGGAAAGTGTTGGTCCTGGCGTCACAAAATTTACACCAGGTGAGGCCGTTATGGTCTGATGGCTAGGTACATAAAAAATGTAGTTCTTATTAGTTACGTCTCAGTTTCTGTGTTCACATTTCATATTTTGCCTAGTCATATTTAGTCCACGTTTAAAATTATCACGTTTTTAAGTGTAGTGTTGATTTATTTAAAAATCTCATTATAAATCTCATGTGGGCTCCTCTCACTCCTTCCAATGATATTTCCATCCATCCATTTTCTAACCACTTCTTCTTTGTAAGCAATCGGCGTGAGACAGCCTAAATAGGACCGCAGTTCCAGTGATATTTTTTCAACAATGTCTTTTCTATAGCTTATTTCAAAACACAAAATCTACATAGATGTAAATCGTTATTCACACACACTGAATTAAAAGAGCTGACTGTGGGTTTGGAACAGACCATAAAAATGTGGCCATTATAAAAATTTAGTCTTCCATACGTCCTCTTTTTTTCATAACGTGCAGGCTCTTCAATTTAGTGCATAGTAAAAAAAGTTTGTGTGTGTTTGTTTCTGTGTGTCTGTCCTGTGTACCATGCCTTGTGCCCATTGCTTGCACCCTGAATTGGAGAACGTGGTTAGAAAATGGATGAATGTTAGTATAAAGTAACTAATTTCAACATATCTATTTATTATACTATGGATATTTTACAATTTATTTAATAGAGGGTGTTATTGATGTTGAGCATTTATTTAAATGTATTTACTATTATTTTGTTACTTAAAAGTGATCAACTTTATGCACACCCTGTGGAAATGATGAATTCCTCTTATCTAATCCTTTAAATAAACTTCTCCCTGTTTTTTTGCAGGTTTGTAAAAAATAAAATTGTATTTAGGTGCAAATCTATTTCTACCAGAACTTTATCACAAGATACAGTTACACTTTAACATCTACAGTACATATCCCACAAAGCTGATATGCTGTAGAACATGTGTGTAGCTGGGATACTTTCAGAACATCCTTAATACAGGAAATCAAAGACATGTTTTCAGAATTTTTGAGGTCGGTGAAGCATAATGTTAGGTTATTATCTGTATCAGATCAGATAATGTCAATCATTGCAAAACAGTTCTTTTAACTGACCAATGGAAATTCTGTCTTAATTGTATTGAAAAGCGCTAGATTGTTTTGTGCCTTAACACCATAAGTATTGAGAAGGATCTTTCATGTAATGTGTTGGAGTCATCTTAGAAAGACAAACAGAGCTCTATGTAATCCAGGTTGGCATCTTCACTGGTATTCCAGTAGGAATCTGTTTTGCAGAAGGATCACCAGAGTTTATGGGGAACAAGATGGTTGTCCAGAAAAGGATATGTTGGACAGCTGCTGTCCTGAACTTGTCCTGCACTGTTATAGACTGTTTGAAACATGCTAGTATAAAACCCATCTAATAACAGGACTCCAAAGTAGCTCCATGATAATTTTAATAAGAGACTTTGTTTGCACAATACATTTATCAGTCCTTTACTGTCACAATTTGTAAGTTTACCATATCCAGAATTTTGTTTCCCTTTATTTAATGCTGAACAGTGCACTGCATCCTAAACGTGCTCTTGTTTTCAGGAGACACAGTCATTCCCCTCTTCCTGCCACAGTGTGGAGAATGCGAGTGCTGCCTGAGTCCTAAAACTAATTTATGTGACAAGAACTGGTAATCTTAAGTCTTTTTTCTTATGTCATCCATATAATGTCCCTTTATAAGTCTTTATAAGTGTGTCGAGGTGAAGATTTTCTTAGTAGTATTGATTGCCCAGGTGGTGATGTACAATGAGTGTCACGAAGCATTTTTCAGGACCCTATGCAGACAGCAGAATCCAGAGAGGAGTGAGAAAACACGGGGAAAAAAGGACTAGGGTAGGGACTGAAGAAGAACAGGGGGCATGTCCAAGGTGCTCTGGTGTTCGGGGGGGGGTGTTCCAAGGCAAAGCTACAAATCCAAAGGGAGTCCTTGATCAGACTCCAATGTCCAAAGCCGGGTGATCTATCCTGACAAACCAGACAAGAGTTAAAAGCCAGAGCGGGATCCGGCGAAGGGTCAGAATAAAAGGGGGTAATGAGGCCAGGCGCTCCCGGACCCAGATGGTCAGGATGCCATTGTGAAGCCTATGCCATCCAGCCCCTCCTGGACTCGCTGGTAGGTGGGCTTCCAGGCGTCCCATCTTCCAAAGCTGAGCCCAGATTGGCAGGAACGTCTGGCACTTAAAGGAAAGGGGCTGGAACTGGAGGCAGGTGCAGGAAACCTGCAGTAAACAAGGAAGGGCTAGAGCCTTCTTAAAAGTAGTGGTTTATGATCGTGACAATGGGCTTAACATTGCTATAGATAGGGGTGTGATAAGTTGGTGGAATAAGAGCTATCTTGGCAGTTGGTGAAATAATGACTCTTGCAACTTCCTTGATGTTTGAAGGCTTCTCAAGTTGGCAGCTGCCAGTTGGCAGTCCTGTAAGGTTCTACAGTATAAAGCATGTCAAGATTTGAATGGCTCAGTGCTAGGGTGGACAGGAAAAGCTCTCTTTTATTCCTGAACATACAATACAGGAAGTTTTACTGAAACCTAAAGCATAGATACAATTGGCAGTTCAAAATTGGATGGGTATAAATGAAAAATGCATAAATACATATTTAATAGAGTACTGTCAAAACTGTTGCTATGGTTATGAGCTTATACTGTACCTTTGATATTTGGTGATATCAAAGTCTAAGTTTGCTGTTCAAATCTACTGCTCAATGCCTAAACAGAGAGCCTGGCAACAATGGGAAAAGGTTTACTTAACTGGCCACATATATTTACTTTTTTAATTTGCAGGGAAAATACACAACAGGGCGTGATGGCAGATGGTACCAGCAGGATAACCTGCAAGGGACAGCAGATCTATCAGTTCATTGGCGTTAGCAGCTTCTCTGAATACACTGTGGTTCCAGACACCTCGGTGACCAAGATTCGAGCCGACGCTCCCCTTGATAAAGTGTGCCTACTGGGATGTGGAATTCCAACTGGGTATGGCGCTGCACTCAACACTGCCAAGGTGACTGCTGCTCGTCTGCTTGAAGCCTTACAATAAATCAAATTAATTAATTCACGTTGTGGTAGATTTCAGGTTAATACCAGTTCATACCTGATTTTGAGGGCTTTCGAAATGCATTGTGGTGATGTCAAGAAACATAACTGTTCATCACTACTGCACAAATATTCCTGAAATAAAATGTTTATCACAATTACATTTTATAGATATCTTTACTTCATATATCAGGGGTTGTAATTTAGCTGCAGAATGTGGAGTGAGATATGCAGTTAACAGAAAGTGATTTCAATAATAGTGAATCAAGAAAAGTTTATTAGACAATCAAAAAGGTATGTCATGATTTTGGAATGTGTAGCATACAAATGTCATCTTTTGCACTGGTAATATGGTAATAACTGGTAATTATTTTTTTTTTTGCCACTGTTCAGGTGTTGTATGACCACATTCCAAAATAACTGTTAATTTACAACTATTCTAGAATTCTTTTAATTCACTATACTATCAAAATAATAGAAATTGGTATGTTTCAAAGGGGCCATTGCATATCCAGAGTAGAGGAAATGGTCTAACACATGATGCCAGCATTTGTAAAATAGCAGAATACCCGGGTTTTTCATCAGTGTGCTGCAGTATGTGTAAGAACACTTATATAGACGACCTCTGAAAAACCATAATTATAATTATATGTACTGTATACAGTATGTTTCTTGGACATCACTGAAGACTATAGCAGACCTGGCTAATGTATTAATTTTGAAAGTCTCCAGGTTTCCAGGCAGTGGCTGGTGCATCAGAAAAAGAAGAAAAAAGCAAATAGGAAAAACTATTCAGGCTACAAGAGCTACTGATTGAGAAGGAGAAACAGGAGATTTCACGTATTATGAAATACCATTGAGTGGTGCTGTATCTCCATAGCCATGTGTGAACTCCAAGTGGAATTGATACCATGTCAGTTGCAGCTTTAATCATGACAGGGTTTAGACTGAACTGCAATTCAGGTTAGTTGTTGAATTTTGTTTTAGGGTGGAATTGAGTATAGTAAACCCCATCCCTGACTTATGTAAAGGTTCCATTATTCCACACATTGTTAAGTAAACAACCCTATCTTAGCCACTGTGTGTACATACAGTATACAGTATAGAGGATTATCATTCATTATATTTATACATTAAAACGATTTGCTTAATGAAAATACATTCCAAGACCCTATAGTTACGATAAAGAACAAATATAGCATACACATAAAAATATACAGTAAACAATTCATTTGATTTTTTTAATGCTCATTCTTTGTTTCCCTAATAACATTTAAGGTCAAGACAGCAATACAAGTATAAAAGCTGTGAGTGAAGATCAATCACAGGAGTCTTAGAATCACTTGAGCACTTCCCTGACTAGTTGGGTTATTTATAACTTTAAGTGAAAAATTACGAGATGATATGCAGAGGTGGCACTAAGTGTAAAAGGGAGCCCGGATGGATGTTGGTAGTGACCACATTATGTCGTTTACTCTGTGTGGTTCAGCCATGGAGGGTTACATTGCTTGCTCTTTGTGTATATAACATTAAGTTTGCATCACTCGGAAATTTCATTATGGGATTCGTGAGAGATTTAACATAAAGTCAATACACATGTTGTAGTTGAGGACAGTTTGGTGTTTAAGCTTGGTATTTGAACTCTTCTGTCTCGGCCCACAGGTAGAGCCCGGCTCCAGCTGTGCGGTGTTCGGCCTGGGAGCTGTGGGTCTGGCTGCTGTGATGGGCTGCAAGGCTGCCGGAGCCTCTCGGATCATTGCAGTCGACATCAACAAGGACAAGTTTGAGAAGGCCAAGGTGTTCGGCGCCACTGAGTTTGTCAACCCTAACAACCACAGCAAACCCATCCAGAAGGTCCTGGCTGAGATGACCAAAGGCGGAGTGGACTTCTCCTTCGAGTGTGTTGGGAACGTCTCTGTCATGGTGAGCTCAGTAGGGAAGATGTTCACTTTTAAAAGTTTTATGTAGCAAGAGACCCCATTGATTTAAATGTGGAATTATTAAACATTTTGATAGTTTAAACTAACATACATTTGCTTATGTAGATGACTAATGAAACATTTGGGCTTTTAAATGCATTTTATTTGAATGTAAAAAGTGATGAAGTCCATATGACATGGTGTCCAGCTGTTGCTATGATCTAGAGTTTGTTTAGACTTTATATATCAACTTTCAACACTGTTTACAGCAAATTAATACTTTATTATGCATCTTATCTACTGTCAGACTTGTTTATTCTTGGTATCAAACTTGACTCTTGACCAAACTGGCATATCAGCTCTAAACATTCTCCTACAACAGGATATTGTTTTAAACTATTTTAATTTTGAAAGCTATTGATTTTAAAGTAAGAAGGTGTACCGTTGTATAAGATCAACAGATGTGTAAATGAGTTTTCCTGCAAGCATTTTCTGATCGATGACATCTGAAGTATTGGTTGCCTCCCTCTGTATTCTGTACAATGTGTTAAAGTATGCTGTAGATAGTGTGTAATACCCATAACTTTTGTTTTGAGAGATGTCTCGTGATTTATTTGCACATTTTGAACAGATGCTTCTTTTCTGTTTCAGAAATCTGCCCTTGAGTCATGTCGCAAAGGCTGGGGAACTAGTGTCATTGTTGGCTGGAATGAAATGCATGAAGTCTCTACCTCGCCTCTTCAATTAATATTTGGGCGCAATTGGAAAGGCACTTACTTTGGAGGTGAAGTTTGCTGTGTTTTCATTTTAATAGCTAAACTTTTTGTTAAAATACATAAAATTGTAACCGGTGTTTAAAAAACTCCAATCGAACACATTCGAACTGAGATGAAATTAAAGAAATATCTTTATCTGAAGACAATTCAGTAATTCTGTATGCTATGTCTGTGTCTAATAATTATTGTTAATTGGTGTTTGATTGCTTACCTGTTAAGACATCTCAGCTCTTTTTTCTATCTTAAAAGATAGGTGTTGTAAGATGTTGCTTAACATCTTAATAGGTGATCAATTTATAATTAACAGATACAGTTTTAATAGTTTAGAATCATTCTAACAAAGAGCATTTTTTTTCTTTCTGAGGAGGTACTATTAGTTACATTTCCAATTTAGTAATAGACCCACTTGAGAGAGGTTCTATAGTGAATAACTGGTAATACCTTGAGAACAATGGCTTTTTTTTAAGAGAGCAGCACAATTTTAAAAATGCATCACAAATCGAAAATTGCAATTAAGAACTCATCTGGATCAAAAGAATGTGCAGGTGTTTCAAGGACCAGGATTAAGAACCACTGGCAAGTTTCTTTTCATTGTTTTGCCTTGATATATTACTGTATGCAAGATTTAGTGTAGAGCAGATGTAGTTGACATACTGTATGTCCTCTGGGGGTACGACAGTGGCACAGTGGTTAGCATTGCTGCCTCAGTCCTGGGGGCCTGGGTTCATGTCTGGAACTTGGGTGCTATCTGTGTGGAGTTTGTATGTTCTCTGTGTTCGCTGGCTGCTCCAGTTACCCCCCCTCACAGCGCAAAGCCAAACTTGAAGGTTAATGGGCCCTGGTGTCAGAGTGTATCTGTGTCTGTGAATGCACTGTTATCCCATCCACAGGGCCGCCTGGATGAGATGCTTTCTAGCTCAGACAGTGTCCAACTGCTCCACAACTCTGAATTGGATGAACGGGTTAGAAAATGAATGGATATGTGACCTGCTCTGCTGTTGTCAGAGATTAGTTAAATTACAGAGAGCTTTAAATATCAGAAGGTGCACTTGAACTATAATAAAGCCATAGTATTTGCAAAACCAAGGCTACTGTTATCAAAACCCAATCCTGAAAATTAATGTCAGAATGCTTGATAATGGTGTAAATTGTAGTGAAGATGTTTTGAATTAACCGAAACATTTAGAAACTGGAACAATAAATTCCAAGCATTCTTGTTGAGAATAAGGAATGTCAACCATAACACATGCCGACATGTATACAAAGATACAAAGGATACAATACACAGTTGTTAATAATGCTGTAACACACTGGGGGTGGTCTTTTTAAAAGGCACACAAATTAAGTTAAAACGAGTTAAAGCACACACAAATGCCATCATAAGTTACAAATTCTGCTGCTCTTTACTTACAGTGCAAGAAAAATAAGAAAGTCTTATCTTACTAACTAGACTTATTCTCTTATTTGATTATACACAATATAAATGCTGGGCAGCGTCTCTTTCTGAGACCCTTCTCAAAATTCTTTCCCCAAAATTTTTTCTCTCTGACTTTTTCCAAAAATTATCTTCCAAAAACTATGCTTTCAAAAATATCTCAAATACGAACTCACAAATTCCAAGCTACTGTATAAGCTCCTCAGTCAGTTGTGATTTATTATGGTCTGTGATGGCCTGGAATCTCATCCAGGGTGTATCCCGTCTTGCACCTGTTGCTTACTGAGATAGGCCCCTTAAACCCTGTATTGGATAAAGTAGTAAATAGATTGATGGGTGGACTTATTGCAATTGATCAAAACAAAGTGAAGAAGCTCCGTCTCAGAAAGGTTTAACCAATCTCATATTTTTGTGTGGCTTCATCGATGGGTGTAGTATTTACACCATGTGGGTGGGTGAGTGAGTCTTACTGCACATATGTGTTATGTTTGGATGAATGTAGCTTGTCTGACACAGATGTATAACACTTTGCTGTGTGGGTTAATGCAAAGTATATTGATGCTGTCCCTCACAGGCTGGAAGAGTGTGGAGAGTGTGCCCAAGCTGGTGGAGGATTACATGGCAAAGAGGCTGAAGCTGGATGAGTTTGTGAGCCACACTTTGCCCTTGGACAGAGTGAATGAGGCCTTTGACCTCATGACTAGTGGGAAAAGGTAGCAAAAAATGAGAATCGGTCTATAGTATTGGTAATGTTTCAATTACTCAATCATGGCTCAGCTATAAAGCTGGTTTCAGAAGTACTATCCTTAAAATCATGTTAAGGGGAATGTTAGGGTATTATATTTGCTCATTCCCAAATCCAAACCAAAACAAAAAATACAAAGCCTGTATGTGTGAATGTAAAGGTTGGAATCACTGTGGAAATAACAGACAAAGGGCAACAAAGTGTCTTAAGAACTTAGGAAAGTCTGGGAAAGCTTTGAAGAGATAAATATCAGTTTCCTTCTTCAGAAATTTTGTCTGAGGTCTTTTGTCCTAATGATTTGTTTCTTTACAAATTATGCACTTCACCGAGTAACCAGTAGATTTCTTAATATGTCTCATTGCCAATGGGAATTTGTAATGTAAAAATTCATTTCAAATTTACCATTTTACACCTTTAATACAATTTTCATTAGAAGCACAACATCTATAGTATAGCATCATTAATACTGTATATAGACATGTCAGGATCACACCACAATTTTACTAATATGCAGTCCTTTGATTTTTAACTATCAATGTTTTTGGCTTGGATTCTCTAAATTACGCAATTCTAAAATGTAAGAAGTGAAATTTGCTCCTTTTATTTGTGCAAGATTCTTGACAAGGGTCAATGGACTCTTCACTATTTTGTCTCTGACTGATCATTTACTCATACTTTATTTTGGCTACATTCACTGATTTCTAAAAGGGAAAATGACCCAACACGTTTTTGTAAAAAAAGTATCCAGGGAAAGGATCTTTTACACAGGACTCTGCTTGTGAATACAAAAAATGTGTTCTGTTTGGCCTTAAGTGTAAATCCTCATTACCATTATTATCTTTCTCCAACCACAGTAGTTGTGCCACCGCAGGAGTAATGATGACTGTGTATTCTTCTCATTGGAATGTGCCATTTTCTGCTTTCTGTCACTGTGGAGAACAATCTTGGCCAGTTGAAGTTTACTCAACTACAGCAAAGCTTAGCCACTTCTGCACAAATGCTTGTCAGTCAGCCACAGTCAGCTGATAACAAATATAACCCAGACTCAGTGGCAATGCCAGACAATATCTGGACTGTAGGGCTCAACTTGAGCACTAAACCACTGTGCCGCTCTCCCTACAGAAGCACACATACTCATTGCAGTGTAAATACAGAACTGAACTGAACTACAGTACTGTACTTATCAATGTGACATGACAGCCACTATTTTTTTTCCCAGCCTCTTTTCTATTTCTTGTATTTTCTCAGTAATCTCTGTAATGTAGACTGGTTTAAATTGTACCAGGAAACTGTATGCAGTGTTATATCATATATATGAAGCATGTTCTGAAGTGCTTCTTTGCTTGTGAAAATTTTGTCATAAGCAAGACTGGGAAACAAGCTTGTGTGTCGCTGTTGTACTTGCAGAAATATAACTTAAGACATCTTCTTTATTTGGGAACTGTAGTACTAAACAGTGCATTTCTACAGTATGTATCACCAACTGATGTTGATAGTAATTTTCTAATACATAGAGAATATCATGACTTGCAAAATGTTAGAAATGTATCTTATACACTACAAGAATGCCCATAGTCTGAATGTTTTTTTTTTATTTTGCTATTTTAGAAATATTCTTTAACATTTTCAAAAAATTTTAGCAGAAAATAGTTTGCAACAATTGACTCCAAGAATCATTTCCACATTTCTAATGTGTTGGTTGTTTTTTTCCTACTATGTGATCAACTGTAAATCTAAAAAACTGTACTTTTTTGGTAGATTAATACAAAACATTCTAAATGAAGGTTATTGTGTAATCTAAACATTTCTGCAGTTCTGGAATAGCAAAATATTGCACTGGTTTGATTGCTTTCTGGGAAATCTAATGTGGCCTCAGTTGAGAAGGTGGCTTAGAATGGAGCTGACATTTGGTGTCAGTGTAAATGCAGTAATAGCAGACATACTGTACAATACAACAAACAGAATATTAAGTGCTGTTTAATGCGAAAATGAAATCTAATTGATGTCTTGACTTTTATTTTTGTCTGTTTTTTTCAGCATCCGAACAGTCATAAAAATGTCAGATTAATTTATGCAGCTGTTTGCAGAAGACAACTTAGAGGACTCTTCTCCATTTGTGTGTCCTGTTCCTAAGAAAATAAAATACATACTTATGCATACAGTATGTGGTGGGTATTCTCAGTCCTTACTTTGATATGAACAATCCCCTCTGAACATACAGTACAGAAAAATCATATTAACTGACACTGAAATTAGGATTCCGAAACACTTTATTATAGAAATACCCTTAACTGTGGAATAGATCAGGCATAAAACCATAAAACCTTATGTCATTATTTACTCTTACATTAATTTACAGAAATCAAGTGGCATTCATTCATTCATAAATCACTCGTTTTTTAAATTGATTTATAAGATTTTTACGTGGATATTGTAACAGAATGTAGGGCAGTGTTATAGAGAGCATATTTTTTGTACAGAGAGTTCTGAGAAGTCTCTACTCATTATAACCCTGTCTGCTGAATTTTGTAGTTTCCCATGCCTGGTCCTTAAAGGGAGGGACACTTGATTAGCTGAGTAATGAGACTCAGCTCTCAACAATTAACTTCTTTCTCAACCTATAAAATGGCAACATTTTGTCTTCTGGTTTGGGAAAAGACCAGAATTTTTCCAAGGAAGGATGTAAAATAGATTTTTCTGGTTTGAAAGTGTGTTGAAAGATGAACTCTGTGCTGCACTATAAAACTCACTGGAATAGTTAACAATACTAGAAGAGCATTTGTGAGGCTTGTTTTCCTGTAGTACATAATATTATACAATTGAAAGATCCCAGCTGGTAGTGATGTGACACCCCTAAACTGTCACAATTTTTTTTTTATTGAAACTTGGGTCTTTAACCAGTTAACGTTTTGGCTGTTCCTCCTTTAGATTTTCAAATGGGTAGGGTAAATAAGGCTAAAGATGAGTAAGCGAACAGCTGCAAAATCATTCAGCAAAAACAAGGTGATGCCTTAATACAGATTTAGGGCATATCTGGAATTTCACATACAGTAGATGCCTAGATGTCTTCCTTTAGGACAGCTGTGTCTACGGGTTTTCTTTCCAGCTCAGTGCTTAACAAGCCAATTAAATTGATTATTGTCCTACAGTAATTGCAGTAATTTAACAGTTCATCTCAGCTCTTAAGATGCTGCTGATTTCACGAGAGCTATAAAATCTGTTGGACTGAAGCCCTTCAGGACTGGAATTTGGCCTCTCTAGTTTAATACTACTGTGAGAAATAAGTTTGCTTGACAGTTGTTTTGCTGTGCACTCCCACACTGCTAGAAAGTTCTGCGTCCATCTGTCACATTTATTTAATTTAAAATGGCTGTACATGGGGGGTGACATCTTCACTCATTCAGCAAACAACATTTCAAGATACAGGTAAAAGTTCATTTTATTTCATACTGAAAGGTAAAGAAAAGAAACACTGCTTTTCAGCACTATTTAATTTACATTTTTTAATGAAGGAAATTTAGTTATTATGTAGCCCTAAATATGTCTAGTACTGCACTTATTGCCTTTCAAGTGTTGTTGAAGTTGTTGTTTGCTGTCATTGTCTGTAACTTCTTGTATCTTTCATAAATTTCTTCCACAGTATATTAGCACTGTTATTTGCTTCGATTCTCTGAGACATACAGTGCCTTGCAAAAGTATTTAGAACCTTGAACAGTTTCATTGCATAAGTATTCAAACCCTTTGCTGGTGCAAATCTAACTTAATTTAGATGCACAAACGTACCTTACCAAGTCTCTGTGTAAATGTATTAGTGACTTGTGTAATTTCAGAGTAACTAATCAATACCTGTTTCTGCAAGGCCTCTTGGTTATGTAGTCAATTTCAAGTAAACATTCAGCTTTGAAGACCAAGAAGCTTTTAAAACAACAGGTGGATAATGTTGTATAAAGGTACAGATCAGGCAAAATGATAAAAACATTTCAGGCATAAAAAAACATTTCAAAGACCCTTAACATATCATTAAGTACAGTAGGTGAAGGTGATCATTAATAAACGGAAGGAAGCCAGATGCTTCCTAGATGAATCAGGTGTCCCTTCAAATTGTTCAGAAGGTCAAGGAGGAAACTGGTTAAGGATGCCACTGTGAAGCTAACAGTGACTTTGGAACAGGTGCAGAATTCTGTGCCTGAGATTGAAGGAAATTTCCATGGGTCTAACTGGGATAAAATCCAGTTAATATCCCATGTCGGACAAGACAAAATTGGAACTTTTTGTTCTAAATGCAAAGCTTTTCATCTGATGAAAACTCAAGAAAGTGGATCAGGTGGTCAACACCATCCTTACTGTCACGCATGGTGGTGGCAACATTAGGTTATCATTCTGTTTCTCATCAACAGGACTGAGAATCTTGTCAAGAGTGATGGGAACACAGACAGACCAAAGTATTAGCTAATCTTAGAGGAAAACCTGCTTCAGACCTTTACAGTAACTGCGCTACTATGTTGCCTTTTAGCAGGACTATCCAGGCCAATACCACACTGGAGGGGCCTAAGAAAGACTTTAATACTACAGTCCATAAGTGATCCTCAAGAACTGTGAGAGAGCTTGAACAAATCTGCAAAGAAGAACGGGCAAATTATTAGCTGCCAAAAATGCTTCCACCAAATGTGGAGTTAATAGGTATGAATTCTTATGCAATCAGTATATTCAAAATTGTCCTCTAGTTTTTGCTATACTTTAGAAGTATTCAGTTTGTGCTTGGGCATTCAGGTTTTTCAATAAAATATTAAGTCTAAAAGATGTGTAATGCATCATTATGTAATTTCACAAAACCAGACACCAAAGGAAGGATCTCAATACATTTTCAAGGCACTCTGTATCAGGTTATTCAAGGAGAATGTGACTTCCTGTCAGCAATCTGTTGCTATATTCATTGCTAAAATTGTGAGTCAATGTCATAAAGTTTATGGTTCGTGCAAAGTTGAAGAATGCTTAGAAAATATCTAAGTTGTTTTTAAAAAAACATCTGAGAGTTTTAAAATCAGAATATGTGTACAAGAACTATGTAGAATTGTGTAAATTAGGTGAAATAGCTGATATATTAGTGAAGGGTATTAATGTACCTCGGAGTACAGTATAAAACAGGAGTTGACAGTATTCTGGTTTTCAAGTTCTCTGTGATTTTCAGGCAAATTGGTCTTATCTGAAGTAATTTCATCAAATCACATTACTTCAAAATTAATCAAAAACAATCATTGAGTTCTTTGAATTATTTATACAAAACAGTAATGCATTTTAGTCAAACAAGTACATTCACAAGATTTTCAGACTTCTGAATTAATCCCTAACTTTCTCCAGTGCAAAACATGGAGAAAGCTATTTGACTGATTTACAGTCAGTGTTGAGTTAAGCCCCTTGGCTTGATTTTCTTGATGTAACTGTTTGCCAAAAAACCTCAGAATTGTAAATCATATCTGTTTCTCAAATGCTATGTTCAGATTGCCAAATCTGATATCTTGGAATCTGATCAAACAGGACTGTAATTTTAGTACTACCAGAGTAGAGATATCCACAAGAATTTCTGCAGATTAAAAACATGTGCAGAAATTGGCCTTGAATAGTGATCTGAAATGAGCAGTGAAAGAGGCTGTTTGACCAAGATGGATACAGTAACACAATGTTCTGGTTTCTTTGCTTGAACCTGTGTAGGCCTGTCATATTGGCATGTAAATAAATGTGAAAATTGATTTGCATTAGGTGCATAATGTATTGGAAAAACAACTGCACCATTCAAATGGTTGGTTGAATGTGATCCTGTCTATTTTTCCTTAGTGCGATTCCACTTTCCATGGTAAATTTGGTGGTGGAGTTAGCTGGTTGTCAGTTATCATTGCTGCCTCCGGGATATTTGCGGTTATGCAGTGTGGTTGGTAAGGGATGCACCTCTCTTCCAGTTGGCACTGATCCTCCAGTACTGGGCTATGTTTCCTGTGATGTGTTAAGTCACAATTTGCTCAAAGGTGTGCAGGTTGAAGGAATGTGCCTAGGCTTTCTAATTTTCATCTGTGGGTGGTCAGGTGAACATAGCTGAGAATTAAAAAACAATTGACTATGTATTGGTGAATCTTAAACATGATTAAACATTAAACATGATTAAGTGGAGTCCAGGTGACTTAGTTAGCCTTTTCAGGTTCTCAACACAAACGAAACACTCAAAAATCCCAACCAATGTGTACTGTATCCAGAAACACCATTCACCATTTATCTTATAAATACAATTGTTTGTTTTTACAAGGATTAGAGGGTCTTGTCTGCTAAGGTGACCATAAACGTGCCACAAACAAGGGCAGGCTGGAGGACATCAGTTCCAACAAGCATCCCTTAGGGTCTAATGCACTGGAGACTGCAGGGAATGCAGATAGTCATCTCCCACAGAGAGATAGAGCAAGGAGAGCAGAGGTTTCACCTAGGCTACACCCTCTCCTTCAGATGGGAATTAACAGGGAGAGCAGTGTCATCATGCACCCAATGTCCTCTGCTTTCCCTGGTTTGAAAAAAAAAGCCTCTCTCACTCTTACAGTGGGCTTTGGACCAGGTCTCCCACTCCACTCCCCTCTCTCCCTCCCGACAGACTTTCATCTTTTTCATTCTATGGAAAAAGGTTCCAGAACATCTGATCCTTTTGATCCTTGCTTTTCATTCCATCCCTTCTCTCCTCCTCTGATTGCTCAGGCTGGTATAGCAATGACAAATTGTCATCTCAGGCAGGCTCAGGCAAAGGTGCATCATCATTTATCTCAGGTCTTAGTGACAAGACCTGCACAATTTGCTGCACCTTCCTCACGTTGGGAGTACTCTTGAGTCACAGGTTGCTGTACCTCCCTCACCTCTGCAAACTCTTTGGGTTACACATTTCCTCATACTGTAGGTCACCCTTCCTTGAAGGTCTTTGTCCTGCTTGCCACTGCTTTGTTAGCTTTCCAGGGCTGAAGCTCAGTCAGTTGTCAGAGGTACCACCAGCCCTTCTTGATTCACCTCACTGCCGTTTCTCCCCCAAAGCTTCCCAGGATCCTTGGAGAGGGCTCCGGTCAACCATTTTCAAGTTTCCATAAATCCAGACACAAAGGAAAGGGAAAAAAAAACAACATCTAGAGCAACAGATGTGGATTTTTCCCCCAAAAGAGTGCTCTCAGGTTTCAGAATCAATTTGTGACAGATTTAAAAAAAGGGTGATTAATAATATTAAATTAATAATAATTGCTTACACGTATATTGAGCTTTTCTGGACGCTCCACTCAAAGAGCTTTCCAGGTAATGGGGACTCCCCTCCACCACCACCAATGTGCAGCATCCACCTGGATGATGCGACAGCAGCCATAGTGCGCCAGAACACTCACCACACATCAGCTAACAGTGGGGAGGAGAGCAGAGTAATGAAGCCAATTTATAGAGTAAAGGTCAAGAGGCTTTATTGTGGGTATTCTTAGGTTCTTGCAATTCAAAAACACTCATTAATCCCAAGCTCCACTGCTGCTGTGTACACTCTACCTACCTGTATACCAAACAGAAAGCCTAGTTACACCCATGAGAGAATATGCAGAAACACCTTTTACCATTAATCTTCTTAATTACTTTATTTGGCCAGATCATGCCAATAATCATTTAAAATGACAACCTTGCCAAAATGCTTGCACCTCATGCAGAACACAGCAGTAAAAGAAAGAACAGATTAAGTCATGCAACTAAAAATACAGTGCATACATGCAAAGGCAGAGCTGAAAAGTAAATAGCATGTAGAAACTCAAGCTCCAAAACTGCTGAGAAATGTGGGTAATATTTTTCACAACTGAAAATATTTGTCAAGATTCAAGTCCTTCTTTGAATCAGATGGAAAATCTATGGCAAGCCTAGTAAATAACTGTCCATCAACCAAACAACTTGACAGATCTTGAGCAAGTTTGTGAAGAAGAATGGATGAAAAAAAACAGCATCCCAGTGTAAAGTTGGTAGAGACTCATCTGAAAATACTCACTACTCTAAATTGCTTCCACCAAATATTGACTGGGGTGAATATGTCCATAAACAAAATATTTTAGTTTTTGAGCTCTTGCTGACCATTCTTGTTTTGATAATATTAATTTGACAAAATATGAATACGTCATCTGAAATGTAACGAAACTGGATATCATTGGAAAGGAGTGAATACTTTTGCAAAGTGCGATAAGTATGAATCCTAAAATATAACTATATCCGGATTTGTAAAAGCCGAAAAAGATCGGGGATAGTTTCTGAAATTATTTTCCTATTTATCAAGTTCAGGTACGAAATCAAGTGAAAATGGTCACTGTAATTAGAAACTGCTATATGACAAATAAACAAAAAATTCCCTGCTGAGAACAAAACTGTTTTAGTTCAATCATCTGCTTCATTTAATAGGTAATCTGATTAATTACAACATTTTTCAACATTGTTGAAAAATGAAAGGGAATAAATGCTCATGCGGGGTAAAATGTTTAGAAGTAGATTGAAGTTCCTGCCCCCTTAAAGTCAGGACCCACCCCTTACTTCATCACTTAACATTTTCAGAGGGAGTTCGTCGAAGCCTTGTGTATTTCTGAGACATCGGCTAGCAGCCTGTTGGAATCATGGACACTGCTGGAAAGGTACGTGATTATGTACATAGAAGGGTGGTTTCAGGATTTATATACATTGCTTTAGTAAAGTAGTGCATTTCAAATAATGTGTTGCGTTCTTTCCTTCTGAGAGCAAAATCTCTACAAGGTTTTATAGAAGGGGGGTTTTGAGTGGATTCAATTTTTAAACATACGCTACTTGTGATTTAGCAGAAAACATTCTGAATAAAGTTAAAATAAACAAGATGGCTCATATATAGTCGCTTTGAAATTTAACAAAAAGGAAATATGGGTTTGATTATCTTAAAGCATATCAATGTACTGTAGTCTTAGTAGTGAGTGATTTACTGTATGAAGCTTCAAGATGTCTTGCTTTTAGTACAGTTGAGGAAGTAGATGAGGAGAGTCAAAGTCAAAAGAAACTATTCAAACTATTTCAGAATAAAAAATTCTCGAGTAAGAAATATTCTTCACTTTTCTTACCTTTAGATAAATGCCACCTAGTTTTCCCTTATATAACGCATAAGATTTTTATTGTCCCCTGAGATAATTATAAATGCAAAAAAAAAGAAGAGAAGAAAAGAAAAACATTGCACATTATACTATTACAAAAAATAAGAAAGACATTGTACATCATTCTATTGGACATGTACAGTACAACACAACAACATGTAACATTTATTACACAATGTTACAGTATGTTCAAATGGGGTAGTATAAACAAACATTTTTCTCCCACTGATCCGCAGCTTTAAAATTTAGTTTTAAATTATTTTTTAAACATATTCTGTTAGAAAACATTTCTTTGTTTCCATGACTTTATCATGGTGGCTCAAAGTGCAGGTCTCTTTCTGAATTGTTTGCTTATACAGTAGGTACAGGAATTATATAGTAAAATTATAGCAAATGCTACTGTATGAATGATAAATCTTTCTAGTTGTTAAATAAATGTCACGTTCTTTGGATTAACTATAATTGTGTTATTGAATAATATACAGAGAAGATTTAAAGTAATTGAAACATAACTAACCAGGTCATCACCAGATGTACCAGATCTGCTGTTACTATCTTATTAATGTTGATGTTGAGTCAAATTAAGTGTAGATTAAAACTGAAAGCAATTAAGGAGACTAATAATTTTTAATGCTGTAATTATATATCCATGGATGACGCGTTAATAGAAAGGTGATGATTTTATTTCTACACAGTGTGGAAAAAAATACAAAACAGGATACAAATGTTAAGTGACTGCCAACGTGGTTGTCATTCCTGTGATATAATATTTTAACTAGCATCAGTACATTCTTCTGAGACATTCTTCTTCGCCCCTAATATAAAATGGATATCCTTGCAAATCATTTTAGTTGTCAGGTTATTTAACCTTGAGGCTGTGTAATGTGAAACTTTCTTAAAACAGAAACAGACTTCATATTAGAGATTTGCTTTTTTCCCCCTCCAATCCATGTCCTGGTGGAATCTAAATGATTAATAGTCTATGCATGATGTGAGGCAAGAAATTTTGTTCATGTGCAGCAACAAATAGAGTAATAAAATATGCTTCACAGATTATTAAGTGCAAAGCAGCAGTTGCCTGGGAGCCGAACAAACCATTATCAATTGAAGAGATTGAAGTAGCTCCTCCCCAAGCCCATGAAGTCCGTATCAAGGTAACATAAGTCTTTTTATTTTTGTTGTTCAATATTTCAAACTGGTGATACATCATAATATGATGTTTAATTGGTAATTTTATCAATGAACAAATTACCATTCATTTTGTGTATGAGTATTAGAGGCAGTTTCAAACATCTTATAAATGTAAGATTATGATATCTTTTTATTTTTGTTCACAATTTCAAACTGGTGATCCACCACAAAACAATGTTTAATTAGTAATCTTATCAATTAACAAATTAGCACTCACTCAAAGCAATGTTTAGTATACTGCACGTTCACACAGAGCAATACCTTTGTAAAATATAGCTAGTGTTCTTTCTGTCACAATACACTTCTTAACATTATTGATATTCTTCTTCATTCTTTTTTCTTAACAAAATTACCTTTCATAATTGTAGATTTCAGAATGCTTTTGAGTGTTCTCTTTGAGTCCATAAATTCCACTTTACCAGAAGTTTAAGTGAAAGAAAATTAGTCAATTGTTTTAGTATTGGGTAAAAAAATAACTTTTCTGCTGACCATTGTTGTACAAATAATAGTGTGCTTCCAGGGCTGAGTGAATCTGAAGCCAATTTATTTTTTCAATGTTTTGCACAAGAGCATTGCTTCATTAAGCAACTTAGCCTTGATGTTTCTGTTATATATTTACAAGTGAAAAGAAGTAGATGGCCTAAAATATTTACTTTATTTTTCTTTCATTCGGATGAATGCTATGACAATCAATCATTACCGTGTTTAACCCACTTGGCAAAGAGATTCATATCATTGTTTTTGAAAACCAACAATGCAAATAGTTACAAAGTACATACTGTAAGTATCACCAGGAGCAGATGTTTTTCAGCCCTAAGCTGTATTTTCTGCCTTTGAAAGCATTCTCAGAAGAGACTAATTTTAGTTTCTGTTATAAGGTGCCAAATCTAATTAAAAATGAAATGGGTGAACCAAAAGATCCAAAGTCCAATTGAATTAAGGACTATCAGATTTCATCGAGACCAATAATTGCAATATGTTTTGCCAAGTCAATGGGATTGCCTACTGTAGGTAGGGTTCTATAGATTGAACATGTATCAGTGGTATAAGGTGAGGGGCAGTTAATCAGTGTGGGTATAAAACTTCAGGTTATTAAAAACAGTACCAGATATAGGTTTGAGAAATCTTTGCCAACTGACAACATGCACTAACAAAACGTCTTCTGTTCAGAAAATTGTAATGGTCTATCTTTGTTGAAAAGAATGGGATACAGTACTTTTTCCACATTGGGTTCATTCTGAAGTTAAAGCCTAACTTAAACACCAGAACATCCTATTCAATGGTGAATTTAACATTATCATGGTTCGGTGACATCACTCTTTAATGTCACCCAATAGCTGTGTTGGTAGAGCATGAAACTTATAATCTCAGGGTAGTGGGTTCGTGTCCCATGTCGGGCGCCAGGTTCTCCATGTTGGAGACAATACTGTCCCATAAAAAACTAATGTTGTGGTAACAGCAACAGGATGTTGCTGCTCCTACATGCTATTAGGCATAAATGCCAAATATCCACACATCCATTTCTTGGTACATTACCAGTATTGATGTAGGTGTAATAAAGGCAGTGTACTATACTGTATGTGTTACATAATATGATTATATTATTACCAGTATTGATGCAGGTGAAATAAAGGCAGTATACTGTATGTGCTACATAATATAATTAGATTTTTTGTTTGCCATATTACACTAGGATTTAAAGGTAGATGAAAAGGTAGATTTATATTTGCTACCATGACAATTTACTTAATTCACTTTGATGGATTTATTCTAGTCTTTTTAAATTTGTCTATCCACATAGCCTTTTAGACAAATTGGCATTTTGCACAATCCACTATGTGAACAGCTGTGTTGCTCGAGTTCTCTTTTTTTAGTGTGATAAATATCTTTTGAATTAGGTTGTTGCCACTGGAGTGTGTCACACTGACCTCTACTTCCTGTATGAGGGCAACCAAAAAGAGGGCTTCCCGACAGTTCTGGGTCATGAAGGAGCTGGAATTGTGGAAAGCGTGGGCCCAGGAGTGACCAAGTTCAAAGCAGGTGAAGCCATCTTTGATCAGTGTTACACAAATGTCCTGTATTGTACCTCCAGAAAAACATGCAGACTTTACTCATTACTAGAAATAGTATGTTGCACTTCCTTCTTAAAGAACAATATAATAGCACACAGTGTTTCTCAATAAAATTCAGGTAATTGATTTCAATTGCAAAATAACCCTCATGCATTTCGTTATGTAGACAGATGTCTCTCATACTCTTTGTGGCGTTCTTGCGTGTTTTCTTTATACCACAACTTCAGCTAAAGCTGCTCTGTCCCATCTTTTACATTAGTACTATTCCAAACTATTTTAGGTGTAATTTCCAAAAGCAACTATTCGGAATGAGTGAGAGTGAGAAATGTGTCTGTCTTTTAATGTAATTAATCTTATGCTGAGCCTTTCTGGAGAACATATTAAGTTACATTTTTCTTAGTGACTGCAGTGTTTGCTCTATTCTTCATAGTATTCACATGACAGGGTTGGTTGATATTTAGTAGTTAATCGACAGCAAATGTAAGTTTTTAATTTGTAATTGTGTTTTATCTTGTGTATTCTTTTTATTTATTATTGTTGTCATTCTGTAAAGTGCTTTGAGGAGCTACCTTTGAAGGCGCTATAGAAAATAAAGTTAATTATTATTATTTTAAAAATTAAACACTGGCTGAAAGTCAGTTAGTGCAAACTGGGGGAACCCACAGAACTGAAGGCTTGTTTTAGCCTTTTTCTTTACATGTCAGAGTTCTATTAATTTCCCCAGTAGAACACTTGGAAGTATATGAGTACAGGAAGTCTAGGACATGATTTCTAACAGCAGTTACATTATAATATGGTTTAATATTATAATATGTCAAGTATACAGATACTGACAGACTAGAGTGGCAGGTTGCATTCTTCATTTTATTTCTTGTTTTACAGGTGACAAAGTCATCCCTCTGTTTGTTTCCCAGTGTGGAAAATGCAAGTTTTGCGTGAATCCCAAAACCAACCTTTGTGAGAATAGCTGGTAAATATTGTGTTATACAGGATATTGGGGGCATGGTTTAAACACTGTAAATAGATAAAAAATATACTGGAATTAGAAAGTTAGTCTTGATACCAGCATGCAACAGTTTCACCTGTTAAACCGATTTTAATCACTGTGATCACTTTGTTCTTCATTACGGCATGATTGCAGAATAAATAAGCCTGCACACATCTATTTACAAAATGAAATAAACACAAAACAGTTCCTGTACTTACAATACAAGTGAATACCTAAACCCATCCTTTCACAGAACTGAAACTAAAAGACAAATAGACCCTAACACAATCTGAATGATAGGCAAAGGCAAAACCATTTCTTATAAAATACAAAAAACCCTACTCAGGACAAAACAGTCCTGAAAAACTATTGTTACAAAGCAGAGAATCTTACCTCCTTCACCACTCGTTGATTATTTTGTCACCATGTATGGGCATTATTCATAAAGGCTATTCTCTTTTTACCTCACATTCAAGGGATTGCTTTATAAACTCTTTCTGTGACCTGGTAACTCTCTGTTGTCACCAGAACAGACATTTTGAACAATTTAAGTCACCTTCGTTTCTACACAATTCGTTCAAACACTATTTCTGAGAATCAGTTAACATCAGAAGTGCCTATTTGTCTTTATTTAGTGCCCCACAAATCCTGTCCAGAGACAACCATCTTCCAGCTCAATTAAAACAACAATCTTTAAATAGTAAAACACTTTCTTAGTATTAAGCTCTTGAGTGAAAACGTAACTTCAGAGAACACGTGGATAAAAGGAAAAAATAACTTAAAATGGTACACAAAGTTACCATTCTGATATTCTTTGGGTATAAATAGTGAGTGCTACTTCCTTGTCAGATTCTTTTAATTTGTTAATTTTGTAGAAACCAACAAATGCAAATGTTGTCATTATATTGAAAAAAATGCAACAAGTTTCACAGTGGTTCAAGCAATCCATTTTTTTCACAAGAAGTGAACAAAATGGTTGCAGTTATGAAAAAATGTTACATTTTTAATAAACGCTGCTTACATTTGGAGTGAAGCAGCAGTCTGTGGGTCAGAATATGAGCCCAATTACAGTCTATGGAAACACAGGAGGACAGACAAGCAATGTTCATCCAGGAGATGGTGTCAGAACAAAGCAGAGTTGAGAATCCAAGCGAAGCACAAGACAGGGAACAAGGTATTTAGAGAACTGCAGGACGTGAGAGGTTTCAAGCAAACACTTTCACATAGTCCAGAGCACTGCCATATCAGATCTTAAGTAGCCTATTTCACCTGAGGCGGGGGAAGACATAATTACCTACAGGTGAAACAAGCTTTCTGTCTGATTATGTATCCACAACAATCGGCACTAACTGACAGGTGAGTAGAGGTGTGGCTGGCTGCACTGTATCACCAGCCTACTCTGCAGCACTCCAGTGAAGGCAAGCATGATGGGAAAAATTGCACACACAGAATAATGATGCCAGTTATGGTGTGTGCTCACTTAGTATCAACATAGCTGTCTCTTTATGCAACGTTTGGCTTTAAGCTGTATCCAACAGATGGTATTTTACATTGGTCTGGACTATGTTGGATTTCCCATCTCCAAAGAACCGATTTTTCTTATGACAGTATTGTTAAGGGCACTACTGTCATCCTTTTTCTTGTGACTATTAATATGGGAAGTCCATAGCTGATGACAGCAGCTGACGAGTGTAGATTGGCTCTGCTACTGTTTAGATTTTAACTGCTGGGTCTGCATGTCCACATCCTACCCCATACTACTACAGACTAAAAAACATCAAACAGGCTCTGATTTATGAGTTCTGAAAAAGATTGTGAACAGTTGTGGTATGTTGTCTACAGACGAAAGCCATAACTTCAAAAACTCCCTGTCCATTACTTTAATCAATCTTCCTGCTGATCCTTTCTGTTCTTGCACATTCCTTGTTTTATTAAGGATTCTGTGTGCTCTTCCAGTATTTTGAAATCCCCCCAGCTTCTTAACTCAGATCCTTTACATTTACTATATATGCATCAAAGGTAAAAGCTTTTCTTACATCTGTTCTGCTTTTTTATTGCTTTTAAGTGTTTATGGTTATCAGAGAACTCAGAAAGCCATTTAGCTTTTTATGACTATGAAATGACATTTTATGCATGTCATTAATGATGTATGTAACAAAGCATATTTTTGCTCTATAGGTCGAATGAGAGGTACCAGGTGATGTCTGACCCCACCACCAGGTTCTCCTGTAAGGGGAAGCCCATCCTCCAGTTCATGGGTACCAGCACCTTCTCTGAGTACACGGTGGTGAAGGACATTGCTGTCGCCAAGATTCATAACTCTGCCCCCCTGGACAAGGTGTGCCTGCTGGGCTGTGGCATCTCCACTGGGTATGGAGCAGCCCTCAACACCGCCAAGGTACCTACCTGCCCTGCCTCTTCATCTTTCAGCTACAGAAGCACACTGTTGATCCTAGAAATGTGTGCGATCTAGTTATGTTGTCCTATATAATAATAATTAATTGCTTACACTTATATAGCGCTTTTCTGGACACTACTCAAAGCGCTTTACAGGTAATGGGGACTCCCCTCCACCACCAGCAATGTGCAGCATCCACCTGGAAGATGCGAAAGCAGTCATAGTGCGCCAGAACTCTCACCACACATCAGCTATCAGTGGGGAGGAGAGCAGAGTAATGAAGCCAATTCATAGATGGGGATTATTAGGAGGCCATGATTGGTAAGGGGCAATTTGAATTTGTCCGGGATGCCAAATTCCTACTATATGTAGTAGGAATTCATTGTTTAATAAAATAAAAATAAACTGATAGGTAAAATTACATGTATATTGATTGTGACTTTCTTAGTTGATGTTGCATACCATTTGCTAGTGAATATATAATAAATCTAGGCAGATAACTGGGAAGATGCAAAGATACTTCATAAAAGCAATTTCTTGAAGGGCTATTGTAAATTCATATTCCCATAACAATGTCCTTGTCATAACTTAAACATTAGTTTTGAGCAGTAGTATGTACGGGTTTTAGTTTGCCACTGCAAATGTCACATTCCACAACCTTTTGCTTAAGTGAAAGATTATGTTCAGCCTCTTGTTTTTTTATCTGTAAATTGGTACTTACGGTACTGTATTACCTGTTTATCTATCCTGGGACTTGGACTGTGTTGGAAAATGCATGCAGAATTCTAACAGCACTGACAAGTCTGTGACTAGGAAGCATGGAACTGAAACACTGACTGAAACACATTGTGTCCATGTCAATTTAATACAGAGACCTCTGCTCTCTTAACACGACCAACTTGACAGATAATACACAGTAGGTGGCTTAATGGATTGCAGTGTTACTAGCTCCCATTTCGCTTTGCTTGCCACTTTACCCTTTCACTCTTTTTTTTCAAAGAGTGGCTTCCCAATTGACCACATTTAAAATCTGAATTGTTCTTTAAACAATAAAAATACAATGATCTTCTAATCTCCTGTAGCTCTGTGTTTCCTATGATACTGTATATGTTTTCATTTTTTCATCTATCCATCCATTGTCTTAGTATCCTTACTATCCTATCCTGACAAGTAATGGATGCAAGGAAGGGAACACCCTGGACAGGGCACCAGTCCATTGCAGAGCACACACAGAGACACACACTAACACTTAGGGCCAATATTCCCAGAAGCCAATTGACCTACCAGAATGTCTTTGGACTGTGGGGGAGGAACTGGAACACCTAGAGGAAACCCATGCAAACATGGGGAGAACAGACAAACTGACAAACTGCACACATATGGCACCCCAGGTCTGGAATTGAACCCACAGCAATACTAACCACTGTGACACCATGCCACTCTCACATGTTCCTAGTTCTACTAATTAGAATAATATTTTAAAGACATCCTCAGACAAAGACTGTTAAATGTGTCTCTACTATCTGAATATCCTTTCTGTCTCTCTCTCTCCGTGCAGGTAGAGCCCGGCTCCAGCTGTGCGGTGTTCGGCCTGGGAGCTGTGGGTCTGGCTGCTGTGATGGGCTGTAAGGCTGCCGGAGCCTCTCGGATCATTGCAGTCGACATCAACAAGGACAAGTTTGAGAAGGCCAAGGTGTTCGGCGCCACTGAGTTTGTCAACCCTAAGGACCACAGCAAACCCATCCAGGAGGTCCTGGCTGAGATGACCAAAGGAGGAGTGGACTTCTCCTTCGAGTGTGTTGGGAACGTCTCTGTCATGGTGAGTTTTTGCAGGTATGAATATTGAAAAACAATAGACCACAAGTGAGATGACATTTGCCATCTGTTTACTCGGTTATTTGAAACTTTTGTATGTAGCTATGTGTGTAGATTTTGCCAGATTGACCCTTATTTCTATGTCAAAGCTCTTTATCCATTTATGACTAACCCTGTCAAAGAAATGGCCTGGAACACCAAGAACTTAACTACTTTTCTATTTCATGTTTGTCCTACCATGTTTAAAGTCTTAATAGGAGGTTTCAATTATAGTTTTGTCCTGCATCTGATGAGCTTTTTGAACTCCTCAACAGGAGTTTAGACAATGAGACTGTAGTGAAATAGCTCTTTGTCAAAGGTAATGATTTGCTGGTGCCCTCTGACTACAGACCACTTAATAATCTACTTCTTCTACACTTCCTTTTCTTGATCACTGGTAGTTTCCTTGGGTGGTACAGTATATCTCCTGTTTGGTACCCAAGAGCCTATTTTAAAAGGTGTTGCTTCAGTACGCTTTAGATCTGATGTTGTTGGTGTACTCTTGGGTACTCTACAAGGTGTTAAGACTCTAGTATTTAGTATTTTCATGCTGTCTATTGCTCAAGATTACTCCTCTTGAGTTTCAAGAGTTTGAGTTTCAGTCAGTGCTGATGCTATACTGATGACACTTTCCCTTGCAGACAAATCAGATTCTGCTA